CATCAAAGCTCTTAAGGCCCACGCACATTAGATCCGGATCGGACGCGTTGCGGCAAAGTGACAGCCTAACTGTCAAATTTACGTCAACGCAACGCAAACCGATCTAATGTGGGTGGCCCTTTAGTGTGGAGGTGGAATCCCCAACTGGAAATGTCCGGTTAATTGCTGTTTACTGCCCTCGGGAGTGTGCCGCCAACAACGGATTAGCAAGCAAATTCAAGAACGACCTGACCGCCATCACTCGTACTCCCGATACATCGTTGAGGGCGACATGAATGCCCACCATGAAGCTTGTCAAAACTACCAGTGGAACCGGAACGATGTCTACTGTTTGACCATGCCCAACATAGACTGTATACTGGGGTGGGGCTTACAGCTTTCCCCCGAAGAACGCGTTACCCACTGAGTTGCACCCACCGCTTTGTCTTGGTGGGTTTTCAACCAAGCGCTCTGATTTTCTGCGAGTGACTAGTTCTCCATTGACCCTGCTCACATGCAAAAAATCAGACCGACTGGTTGAAACCCCGCCGAGAAAAAGCGGTGGGTGCAACTCAGTGGGTAACGCGTTCTTCGGGGGATAGCTGTATTTTTAATAATCGTTCGTGGGGGCGACCCCGGCGTAGCGGTTAGCATCCATACCTCTCATGCCAAAGTCACGAGTTCAAATCTCACCCCCGGACAAGTCACGAATGACCCAAGAGTGTTAAAGTGACTATAATAAACAAAAAAAAAAAAAAATCGTTCGTAAAATTATTATTGGGACTAATTAGGTAACATATCAAAATTTGAGCTTTTTTCGCTAACATTTAGACGTACCGCAAGGGTTCTAATGATCTTGTGACCCTGACTTGAGGTCGAAAATGTTGTCTATTTTACGATATCTTCGTTCGTTCTCGAGATATATGGTAAAGCGAGGTTCCCGCACATGAATTTACGCTTACATATTGATATAGGGAAAATAGATGTAATGTTGGCCTAAATGCCCCTAATTTGGGCCCATACATAAACTCAGAAATCGACTAAATTTTCAATAACGTCCAAAAATATCCATTAGTACCGTCCCAATGACGAGTTCATCTAGATAAAATTGATAAATAGCAGATTTTTAGCGATGGGCCCAATCTTAGATCCATAGGCCAACATTAGAGCCATTTCCTCTATCACAATCAGCATCCTTGCAGTGATATATGAAGCGTGAGTAAATATTAGATTTAGAGAAAAAAAAGAGGGTGGTATTCTCTACAGAGAGAGAAAACAGGAAAAGGTAGGTGACAAGGTAAACTCTCTCTAGGGGAAATTGATGTTATGTCGGCCTAAATGCCCCAATTTGAGCCCATACAAAAAATCTTGAGATCTCTAGATGATCCCGTTCAGACGCCAAGACTCAATTATAACAATGGTAACATAAGTCGAAACAAGAATAATTAACAATACATTCGTAAACAAGCAGTTCGTGAGAAGTTAGTTAGATCACAATTCAAATACAGTCAACTCTCTTTCTCTCGCACTACCGATCATACTGGCTATAACGACAACGAAACCCCACCCTCAAGCTCCTCCCATGATCCTATCCTTCGACAATGTACCCCTCTAGCTTCGGGTAAGCCGCGAGTATTCGCCCAATTCCTACAAGGCATAGAAATAAGTGAATTTTGTTTCAAACAATAAGCAATTAATTATCGGCTCCGTAAAGCTAACGCGATTGAGCCTTCCAAATAAACGAACTAGATACAAAAAAAGCCTCATTATCTTCAACGCAATATTCTCCTTAACTCTGTGGAAATCTAGGACACTTCAACCGCATTTCCCATGCAAAATTCCAAACTTTACCACCGTAACTCAAAAGTCTTTCCTAACTCGTTAATCGCAAATATCTATTAAGAACGAGTTTACTGTAATAAGTTTTACTTTTATTTCACTCCTCGTTTTCTCCCTCTCCAAACAAGCTGGCAACATTAAACGGAAGCTGTTGGGCTCACTCACCAACACACTCACATAAGCAAGCAAAGCAGCAGCTGCTTCAAAACGAGCACAGATGAGTGTCGTGATTGTCGGGAATGACCAGATCGGTGATGGATCACCACCGAAGACGACATTCACCAGTTGCTTTTTACTTCTTTCGTCAACTTGATGGATTGTCATGGAGAGTGTTTCGACAAGCACATTGATAGGAATGTTACTACCATCAGCAGTTGAACGATCGTGATTGTGATAGGCCGCAACTCTGTGTGCGGGAACATCACTACGCCATATAATCAGCGTGGTTCATGCTAGAAGTTGCCTGCGTAAAGACTACCACAACGTCAACTGGGTGCAGTTCGGACGAATGTTGGACAGGAACATCGAAGAAAATCCACCGCTCGACACCGTAGATGACATCGACCGGGCGTTGGAAAGACTCCAACAGGCCAAATCCATGGTTGACGTTCCTGGTAAGGAGTAAGTTTGTTGCTATTGATTTCCACACCCAATTACTGATTCGCTTGAAAAATGTGAATAGACGCCAGTTTCAGAGGACTAGAGATCTAGACAAAAACGTGAAATGGTCGATCTGAACAGGACTCACTCCGGAATGTTAGTTTCGGGCATGTTGTCCAGAATATGGACGACCACTCCAGACCATTTTGGAAGGTAGCCAAGGTCTTGAAAACTCATCCCAAACCCTTTCCACCTCTCAAAGACGAATATGATGACGATCGGCTCTTCATCACCCCACAGGAGAAAGCAAATGCGATCGGCGAGCCTGTCGCTTCATCGCATTTGCTTGGCTCGATTATCCAAAGTGCACTCGAAGATCAGGTTGCACAATGCGTTCAAAACCAAGATACCTCCCCTTGTGTCGTTCCAACGGTGGATAAGATTACAGTACAACAGATTTGCTCAGCGCTTGAAATTCACCAAAAATGAAGGCTCCCACATTTGACGGCATATTCAAGTTAATCTTCAACATATGCTTGGAGCTAAACTACTTTCCAAGTGTCTGGAAGGTAGCAAAAATTATACCAATTCGCAAACCCGGTAAAGATCCAACATTGTCTTCAAGCTACAGACCAATCAGCCTCCTTTCAGCGCTGAGCAAATTGTTCGAGAAACTCATTCTCAATCGTTTGCTCAAGTTTGTCGAGGAAAACAACATTCTCCTTCCGGAACAGTTCGGGTACAGAAAGGGCCACTCCACCAATCATCAGCTAGTACGGGTGATGAATAATATCCGAAGTAACAAAGCTGTATTCAAGTCCACAGCCATGGCATTGTTAGACGTTGGGCTTGTAAAGGCTGATTAAAAGTAAATTGGTACGCCCTTCGCGTGTCGCTATCACGCTTCTAGCGTTGGGAATCGAAAATCTTTGACAGTGGTTTGTTTACACTTCTTTAGAGAACAACTGGTGCAAATTTGATCAAAGTAGTCGATCGCGTTCAGAAATAACGTCAAATACAACTCGAAAGAATAAAAAATATTTTTCACAAACACCTGGAAAATCCGGAGTGGTCCGCTTCCAAGCTGGTTAAAGTGCTGAAGATGCCGAAAACAACAGTTTGCGAATGCTCAAAACCTACAAGGAAACCCCGAGTGTGGAAAGGAATCAGCGGACCAACGAAAAAACTGGAACCAGGGATCATCAGCTGGCGCAGCAATGTGTTGAAGTGCGTTAAAGCCAACCCCGGTCTTTCGATCCGGGATGTGGCCAGAAGGTTCGACGCCAACTTTCAAACGGTGTGGAACATCCTTGCCAGGGAAGGATACAAGTCGTACAAAGCCAGTAAACATCCGAACCGGCACATGAAGCAGAATTCCGTGGCCAAAAAGCGTGCAAGGCTGGTTTAACGAAACACAAGGGCTGCATTTTGATCGATAACGAAACATACGTCAAACTCGATTTTAAGCAGCTTCCCGGTCAAAAGTTTTACATCGCGACTGGATGTGGGGATGTGCCGGGAAGATTCAAGTTCGTGTTTGCCGAAGTATTTGATCAAATTAATCTTCTAATGATAAATCAAATTTGCTTATTTTTTACCTAGTTCGTTTATTTGGAAGGCTCAATCGCGTTAGCTTTACGGAGTCGATAATGCATTGTTCATTGTTTGTAACAAAATTCACTTATTTCTATGTCTATCAGGAGTTGGGCCGAATACTCATTGTCGAAGGATAGGATCAGAGGAGAAGCTTGGGGCTGGGGTTTCGTTGTTTCATCAGAGCGTTGTCGCCAGTATGAACGGTAGTGCAGTTCTGGATTCGTCTGGAGTTCTACCGGCTATGGTGACCAATGAGCGACGATAAATTTTCTTAAATGTTTACAAACAATTGTAGCATAGTTTCTGCAGTGCAAAATCGAAATCTGTTCTAAGAACTGTGTACCTAAAAAATCGAGCATTCATACAATTTTCAATATGATCGAAAAGAAATTCATTCAGTAATGCAAAACTCTTGGACAACTATTGATAGTGATAATAGCTGATACCAATACACTAGCAAATAACTGCAAACAATACAAATTATCACCAAACTGTAAAACAACACAAAAACCAGTTATGTCTTCGCTAACAAATCAAGCAAATCATTTCGCAAGGTAGACAGTGAAAACTTTGCACTACGTCTCCAGGCGCTGCGCTGATTCATCGTCTCTTAGCGCCATTTACTACATAGCCTACATTCATGTTGTTACAACTTTTCAAGCTACCCACAACCATCCCAATGCTGACGAAGGGTGTTTCAAACCGCGTCGCCAAAGACATTGATCATGCTAATTACAACGGTTCGTTAGCATCGATTACCGAGCCGGTGTCAGTTGGTTCCAGTGCACAATGAGTTACTGATAATACTGATAAACAACACCCTCACGATGGCAAATATTGATCAGCAGGTCGTCACGAGACCCATGCCGGGGCGGTCTACGCTGCTTTCTGTGTCGGCATGTTTAGCGCTGGGATTTGATTGGTTTGATCTCGAAGGCGACAGGTAAATTGTATCGACATATTTAATCAATCAGTAAGCTACTTACCAATGTGTGCGTATATCCGAGTCCACCCTCCTCTTCGTCCGTGTCGATGGCATCTCGAATCGAGAGGGGCTGCTTGGTGGGGATGATTTTGGATGGAACCGCCAGCAGTGTCATCTCCGCGGATGATTTCCCGTTCATCATTTTTTTTTTAGTGATTTCTGCCACTTCACTAATTAATAACAGCACACAACACAACAGTACACACTTTGCTCTGGGAGCTGAAGCTTCTTTGAACCGATCACACCTATATGCCACTTTTCACTATACCAGAGCAGGTACACGATTTTACAATAGCAAATAAGAGCTCCGCACGCTTCGGCTAAACACTAGCCATGAAAACATCCATAGCTCAGGGATTTTCCTGGGGAAGAGAAAAAAACACAAACAAATTTCTGTAATTTATGGATGCAATGGAATTGCGATGAGCTCAGATATGTTGGGGCATCGGGGGTAAAATGCCCCATTGGCATTCAAGCGAAATGAAACTGATAATAAGACGTGGAAATTCAACAATTCATAATCAAAAGCTTAACTAAATAATTTCAACAGGGCTGTGGACATTTTTTGAGTCGGTTCTTTCTCTGAATCATCCATGCAAATTCCTCAACATTTTTTGAAACCAAAAGGCAAATACGAAATTCGCAATTGCTTTTTCCGTGTTCAACCAGATCCAGTGAAATTTTTACAAAGAACCATGCATGGAGTCTTGGATTAGCAATCGATGCTTGGTCAATAATGGTGCCGGCCACGTCCCTACGACCATCGGAGAGGGAAGGATTGTTAGTTCGGCACCCGTTGTTACTAGAGACCGACTATACGTCTGAATATCCACGGTTGACACACACACTTCGAAATACCTAATCTTACACGTGACGGAATCCATCTATGACATAAAGAATAAGACGTAAACAAACATGTCATGTAATATTAAGTGCTCCGAGTATGTTTGATCGAGACATATTTCGTGTCTGTAATGACTCAAATTTATGTCAAAATTGACGCTCGTATATGTCACTCTCAGAGCACCTAAATATACATGAATTTTTCTAAGTGTTTTGTTGTTAGTGAGAATGGTGAATCTTGATTCAGTTTGGAAAGTGACTCAATCATTTAAAGCATTATCAACTCAGTAGTGTAAATGTGTTTGGGATAGAACCTAGAATCTTCTGATTATTATGCAAAAATGGTCGCCAATAAGCCACTGTGCCCCTTAGACCACAATAAACCACTGCAACCAACGATCGATCAAGCACGGAGACATTTAGCAATGCTTTCGAAACCAGATCAAGCATTCGAAATATTTTTCTAAACATATTACATATTATATAGGTACACCCCTATTACTGAAACACCTACTTTACTCAGTTCTCTAGACTGTTCTGAATGTATCAATTTTTTTTAAGAACTCGCAACTTTCCTGAAATTAATTGATTTGTCTTGAAGTTTCGACAATTTTTCGTATTGTAACCATTATAAACGCTTACTACTTTTCCCTGAACTTATCTATGTTTACCTGAAGTTGTCTAAATTCAAGACCAAAAAAGGCCTCAACTTCATTTTGTAAACAAACCTTGTAAGGCCATATATCACTGTAACGTTCTTAGAAAACGGAGTCTCTGGAATTCCCTGATTTTCTCGAAACTTCTTGAAGGTTTCTACAATTTCCTTGAAATTATTTGAATTACCCTTTGGTTCTCTGATCTCTGTGCCTGAATTTTTCTAAATTTACGATTATAGATCTTTAAACTGCTCCAAAATTCTGGAATAAAGCTATGAGAACTGCTCTTAAGATCTGAAATTCCACGAATATATCTAGATCTAACTTTTCTGAGGCGCTTGGAATTTCTTAAAAATTTTCACAATACCCCTCAAATCTTAAGTATTTCTCAAGTTCGCTTGACACCCGTTATAGGAACTTCACAAAAGTTCCTTGAAAAATTTCGGATTCTAAAAGAACCGCTTTGAGGTTCTTAAAGCTTCTAGTAAGTTCCCCGTATTTTCAACGTGTTAACTTCTCTTATGATCTCGCAGTTTTTTTGTGGAGTTTCACTGAATTTCTCAGCATTTCCTGTCATTCAGAACTTCACCAAAGTTACTTAAGAAATAAATTATTAATTTTTTCCTTACTTCTCGCACTTTGAAATTTTTCAATATCTTGAACTCTTGAACAATATCTTAAAAACGTTTGGGTTAGTTGGTGTTGTTTTTGATCTACCATAAAAAGGCATATTTTAGAGGCATTTAGAGACATTATACGCTGGAATTTATCCGTTAAAGTTCTGGAAAAACCTTGAAAACTCAGGTAATTTTATTTAGAAAAATTAGACACCCTGTATATAGAGCAAGACAATTAATCATCACTAAACAACGAATGATCAATTTATTTCAAAAATTCATTTCGATTCTGTGGCATCGTATGTCACGAATTTGGAGACCTGTCGTTCAACTAATACTTTTCCAGCAAATTCAGCAAATTTCACTACCTATCATAGGGATAGCCAGAGGGGGAAGGGGGCGGGATGATTGCCCCCCCCCCCATAAACTCAGCAACACAAAGCCTTTCGAGGAAATGGCGTTTGGTGAAATAGCATTCGGTCAAATTTTCCATAGTATTTTTTTCGCCCCTCCCTAGCTCGAAACCTGGCTACTCCCTTGCTATTAAGGCTAGTAGTAGCAGATTTGCTAGTGGACTTGATGACAAGACTCATGGATTCATTTTCGGATCTGAAAGTTAACTTATTCGCGTGGATGGATTCATCCATCGTTTTACAATGGCAATCATCACATCATCGAGAGTGGAAGATCTTTGTAACTAACCGAATCTCTAAATATCTCAACTTTCTTCCAAGAAATCGGTGGTATCACGTCGTATCTATAGAAAACCCCACCGATTGTGCTTCGCGAGGTGTTTCACCGATCGAGTTGGTGAATCACACTATTTGGTGGGTGGGCCCCAGCTGGCTCAAGGAACCCACTAAAACCTGGGTCACATGAAGACGAGATAGTTGAGGGCGAAGAGCTGTTGGAAAGACGGGCAAAAGTAACGTGTTTGTCAATCAATGTCGTGCCAAACCACAATTATGACATTGAAAACTTCCAAATAAATCGTTACTCGGATGTGAATCGCATTCGACGCATTTTGTGCTGGGTCAACCGAGTTGCCACGAACCTCAATGCTAAATTGTACGGTACTCAAAGCTTCAGTGGACAATTGACTTCAAAGGAGATTGACAACACTTATCTGCAACTGGCTCAAGCGGCTCAACAGGATACCTTTCGATCGGGGTTAGAGTCACTACAAAGAAATTCCACTCTACCGAACAACAGTAAGCTCAAGACACTATACCCCTTTATCAATTCCTGTGGCACTCTAAGGGTAGGTGGCCGACTACAGAATTCTGCTCAACTTTACGACATTCGTCATCCAGTGATCCTACCAACGTTACATCGGTATACGCAACTGCTGCTCTCATAAATCCACTTGAGAAATCTCCATGCTGGACCGACCTTGATGATCGCAACATTTTATCAACGGAACTGGATCATTGGTTGTCAAGCCGTCGTTTGTACCTTCGCCGATAAAGTGTGTCCCACATCAAATGCATCACGGGAAAAAACGCTGTAGAAAATCAACTAGTTGACCGATCCTTTTCAAACATTCAGACAATAAAATACAACCCATTAGTAAGCTTTTGGCATATTAATTTCATTCAACTTCAATACAATAACCGTACGCTCGCACCTTACGCGCTTAACTCCACTCATTAGGATGTACAACATCTCACTGTAGCTCGTTCTGTACGGAAACCCACTTTTTCTTCATGTCTTCCTCAGATTTGACCTTCTTGGGATGCTTCCGTAGTGCCTGCTTCATAATAGCCCAGTATTTTTCGATGGGCCTTAGTACCGGTGGGTTGGGGGGTTTCAAGGTTGCAAATACTCATTTCAGCTAAAACAATGTTTTTCGGAATAATAAAACCAAAAGATGGTATGATGACATGTTTAACTTGTAACTTACAAGAAGAGGTTACACAGTGTGCGTTTGAATCATAAAACCTGTAAATTTTGCTTTTTATGAGTCACAATCAGCGGTTTGCTGATCGCTGAGTGAGTGAGTGAGTGAGTGAGTGAGTGTGTGAAAAATCGCTGATAGAGACTCTCATGAAGTGAAATAAACAGGTTTAATATGTCAAACACATTCTTTGCAACCTCTTATTGTATCTTACCTATTCAAAATATGATCATAGCATCTAATTATTTCATAATTTAAAAAAAAACCCGAATTTATCCACCTATGGTGTGATCCGACCCTTCTTACTTATTCAAGTTTATTTATTTTATTGTCATTATCAGTGACCAAGCCCCCCACCCCCGTGTCATCCAGTGGGGGTACCCAGAACATGTCCAAGTGTGTCCAATATGGTCTGGAACACTTAACATGACTTGCATTGATCTTATTTTTGAATTCTGTAGTAATTTGATGTGTCGCATGATGGTTTTAATACGTTTTCCGTTAAATCCAGCGTCAAGGCCCATATTCACCGGATCTTATTCCGGCCATATCTCCGGAACCGGTTAACCGATTCCAAAACCGTTCAATAGGGACCCCAAGACCTATCATTTGGTGCCAAGTTTGTCCAAATCGGTTGAGCGGTTGCTGAGAAACGGGAGCGCATTCATTTCGTTACATACACACACATACACACATACACACATACACACGTACACACACACACACAGACATGTTCCGATCTCGTCGAGCTGAGTCGAATGGTAAATGATGGTTTTGATACGTTTTCCGTTAAATCCAGCGTGAAGGCCCATATTCACTGGATCTTATTCCGACCATATCTCCGGAACCGGTTCACCGATTCCAAAACCGTTCAATAGCGTTCAATGGGACCCCAAGACCTATCATTTGGCGCCAAGTTTGTCCAAATCGGTTGAGCGGTTGCTGAGAAACGAGACGCTTCTGTAGACACTCCTTGAGGTAGATCTCCCCGACAGTCCCGGTAGTCACGAACGGTGCTCAAATCATGTACACACTTAGAAATAATGAGACGTAAATAAACATGTCATGTAATATTAAGTGCTCCGAGACTGAAAAGATCGTTGCTCGACGAAAAGTACGTTTGATTGAGCTATATTTCGCATCTGTTATGACTCAAATTTATGTCAAAAATGACGCTCGTATATGTCACTCTCAAAGCACCTAAATTTACATCATTTTTTCTAAGTGTGTATTGTGCTTGTGCTGGGTGGTGAAAAACAGTAGCCCCGGAAGCTGCCGGAAGTCTGCCTTGAAGTAAGTCTCACCATGAATGATGAGACAATGAGGCTTTGTCTGCATCTGGGTGTACA